CATCATGGGAGGATCTGGACACTTGCATGGCTGCCAGTCCGTTCGACGTGTCATTTCAGAAATAAGTTTATGTCGGTGTGAGTCTCAAGAGTACGTCCGGCGACCGCTCGTGTTGGTACAAATTACAATTACTCCCAAACACATGCACCTGGAGTCTCAAAGTACACCGGAAATCCCCGGAATATGGGTACAAGTACCTGTGTTTTACAGGGTCATGTCCCATGTTGTAGGGTACTTTCGAGGCTCCAGGTAGCTTGCCATCTAAAAAAAAGGGCCGAGAGAACCTCCCAGCTCGATCCCCTGGGAAGGTTCGGAACATAGACACACTTTCATTGGCTGGGTGTCTCCCCGGACAATACGGCACCCGCAGAGCGGGACTTCGTGCTTCAGGCCTTTGCCCTTCACATCTCCAACAGGAGTCATTCACCCTGGTTTCCGAGTAGCACAAACCCAAAGAGGAATTCCAATGGCGGGGTCCATATTAAACCCCTTTTGGGGACTGTGCCATCGAAATCACTGCACATTGGAAGTGGATTGGCACCACCTGTTTGTTGCGAAAGAAACTGTCATCCTTGCGGGGCGATCCATGTAACCATTATTCTTTCAGGAAGTGTGGATTCCAGACAGTCGGATACTTTCTGTTGACTCACATCATTTGATTCCAACACAGTTGCTCCAGCAACGGCGCAGGCACATGATGTGCTAGAGTGTCAAGCTTTCTTGCTACATACATTGCTTGCAAGAGCATGTTTATAATCCTACAACATCCACTGGGATGAGTTAGGAGGTTTGGGGAGAATCAGTGCAATAGTGACCAATTACATGCCCTCTCTTTGACCACAATGAAAGTCGACCATTGGCCCATGAATGATCCACAAGGGGTAGTAGTTCAGCTTCATGAGCCTGAGTGGTCAGTATATACATGTCAGTACTATTTCTGAAAAATGTAAAAAGAAATCCAGGCCATCCGCGTGAAACTTGTGTAGACTTGGTGGAGACTGTTTGGGTTCTAGAGCCTCAAGAGCATTCTGTCAATTCAGAAGTTCAGTTGGGCAATGCAACGTTTGAAGCTAAATGCTGGAGCAACTGCTTGAACTTCACCATGTGTCGCCCAGAATCCGGAGAACGAGCGCCACGAAGGCGCATCGTCGACCCGCGTGACCCGCGCACACAGAGATGAGTGACCAGCAGAGGGGATGTACTTACTTCGGAGTGGCTGGTTTGAGGTCGCTCTGAAGAGTCGGTTGGGATTCGCCTTTCTGCGTTGATCACAGAGCCAAGGGCTAGAATCGAAGGATCTAAGAGATATGGACTGGATGCTTACAATACATAGTGTAGCCTTTGGGTTTAAGTTCCAGACATTGGCCTCCAGCAAGTCTACATCAGTCAACCACTTGCCACGCATTTTCAAGTAGGAATCACAGATTGATTCTCCAGACACTTTGGTGGGCCAGCTGTGTCTCTTCCACAGCTTGGATGAGGTTGGTGCTTGTTGACAGGCACGCTTTGTTCAGTGCCCATTCAGAGCTAACGACTACGGCTGACTACGGGGAGAATCCAAGACCAACGACTACGAAAAGCAGGATCTCCGCGTCACAACTGGCTTGAAGAAAAGACACTGGCTGGAGAGGGGAGACCCAATTTCGCAAACGGCGTTGCCGTTGTGCCCCAACCGCTTCTCTGCCGATGTGCCTCATCGGCGCGGAAGCAACCACGCGGCAGCTTTCTGTGACCTGGGCGTTTGTTGGGCCTCGAACATTGTGCTGGGCATACGGCTGCAATGAGCTGCAGCAAGTTTGAGGATGCGAATCGTTGGGTCGGATGGTCATAGCAGCTGTCATAGCAGTCCATCATAGTCCATCTCATGGTGGAGACCCTTTTACCAAATGTCACCATTTCAGCCATCCCAAAAGAGACGTGCCTTTAAAGGTGACGCAGTGACGTTAAATGGCATGGACTAGTGTATCCAGAAGCTACTAGTAACAAGGGCATCGCTACTAGTAGCAAGGACGTGACTAGTAGCTAAGGGCAGCACTAGATCAATCACGAGATACATTGGCCATGAGAAGCTCTCGGACATGAATGCGCTCCATCCGTCGTCCAACTCACTCGAAGGAATCCATGAGTTGCTTCCTGGGGCTTCCGAGTGTGCGACCTGAGATGCTCGAAGTGATTGGACCCAGACCGGTTTGAGCTGTCTCATGTATTGTTGGTGAACCGGTATGTTAACCCTCCAAGATGTTAGCCACTCAGATGTTAAGTCCCAGAAAGCTTGAACGGAGCCCTCCACTCGGGAGCCCCGATTTCAGGAGCTGTCAGATCAGGCGCGTGCCCCTCCAAAGGGGTCCAGTCCTGCCACTCGCGAGCCTTGTGGTTCGCACCCAGTGGTGAGTTCGCTTTGAGTCGACCTGACTCTGTGTGGGAACGGCGCAGGACTCTTTCATTACTAGGAGACTCTAGGTGATGGTTTCGGATATGTTTATTTTCAACCCTTACTTGGGGATGGTTGGACCCTCTGACTCATGATTTTCAAGTGGGTTGAAAAAAACAACCAACCAGATTACCGTTTCACTTGCTAAAGACTGATCATCCCAAGTTCCCCACCAAACTCGATCGCTTGTCGGTTCTGAAGCTTTTATTAGGCCAGTCACTTGAAACGAACCGGTTTTTTGAAAGTTCCTCAACCTTTGGGTGCACGGTCGCCAGCATGGCAGTAGCAGGTCGTGTCATTCTTAGAAGAGGAACTTCAGAGGCCTCCAAGAAGAGGAGAAAACCCCAAACAGGGACCTTTGCAGGTTTGAGTCCTCCATTCACCAGGTTTTTGTTTTCATGGCGTCCTATGTTGGAGGAGTAAGCGTGCATGCAAATCATACAATACAACTAACAACTACAATGACTGCGCAAATTGATGACTATACATACACTATATATATATATATTTATGTCAAAGTAGATGGCACAAACCTAAGAGGTGGCACAACCCGAGATCCATAAGACGTGTCAAAGGAAAAACAAGTTCTTCTTTTTCCCGCGACTTCTTTAAGATCAAAGCAACACAGAGACATTTTCATGTCTTCACAGGCGAGCTTGCCATCGTTTTCAATCGAAGCACCTGAGTTTGCTTCCATGACCCGGTTTCATGGACGATTGGCTGTACTTGTCCGGGGCCTCCTTGAATGGTGCAGAAGAGATCAACTTGGATCAATCCTCCAAGAGTGCCCAGGATCATATGACCGTGTTTTTGGTTCCAGTTTGGGTCACTCAATATTCATATATACTTGTTTTTGTTTGCTATAAGGTCACCTGTAAGACGTACTCACAACCCCCAGCAAACCTGCAGGCATGCCTCTCAATCAGAGCTTTCAGTGTTATTTTGCGTGTTTTATTGGGGATTGGCTTTGTAGGGGCCCGGTTGGTGAATTCGTCGCTTGTTGCTGGGCCTTGCTACCTCACTGAAGTACTTTGAAATTCCTTGCCATTCCTTGACAAAGGATTGAGCGGAAGCTCCCATACTTGTTGCACAAGTCATGTGCGGTAGGAAGTTGCAGAAAGAAGCACAGAGGTGAGCCCACCCAACATAGCCCCAACACACCCCCTCAAGCTGACAGTACCTTTTTGGTGGGAAGTTCTTCATGGCAGTTGCGGAAGTAGCCCTTGCAGCTGACCCCAGGCCCAAACTCTCTAGTTTTAACAGTGGGCAGAGGTGTTTTCGGGGATAAACACCTCGATTTCTGGGAGGTGTGGGAGTTCCTGTCAATCATGGTCTAGCTCACATTCGTTTTTCCTGCAGCTATCCAAGAAGCACGTGATGTTCCATTGCTTTAGCACGGTTCCACATGTTTGCTTGACACATGCACACACATGTTCAAGTTGTATGAGGTTGTATGCGATGTTGGGACTCCCAGCGCATGGATCCCTGCTTCGTTGATCTCTTTCATCACCGGCGCCCGGACGCCTCTTCAACTCTCCGGCTGTGCGTCGCTATGGCAGTTTGAAAAGCTTCATGAGTTTGGCTTCTATTGGTGACCCGTACTTCGGGATGTAGGAACATGAATCCCCCCGTGAATCCTCCTATAGAGGTCATGGCAGGCCCCTTGGCAAGACGGCGTAGGCCATGGAAAACCAACATGACTTGCTCCGGGGGAAGCTGCTGTCGTCGCATGACGCGCCCGGCTTCGGCCGCCGCACGGCCCAAGTGAGAAAAAACACGTGAACGAAGGCGAAAAAAACGATGGGCGCGGAGGGCGCTCTACGCGGCGTAGACGATGGTGCGGAGCTGTTGACAACTCGGTGTGGCACAGAGTTTCAGGACCCATCGCAGGTCTTTTTTGAAGAACTGGCACCCTTCAGTTCACACGCAGCATTTCACAGGCCATGTTCTGATTTTTGTGGGGAGGGAGGGAGGGAGGGGACCCAGCAGAGGGACACCAGAGAGTGATTCACCGGGTGCTGGTCTTCAAGAGGAAAAGTCCCCAGAGATGGATTGCAACAGCCTTGTAAAGCCTCTTCAGGCTTGGGAGGGTGAATCCATAGTACATCATAGTACTGTTGATTCATCCAGGCGTCCACGGTACTGAAACGAAAGTGTGAGAAAAGGATCATGTTTACATATATTACATAAAAATGAATGGTAAATGCTTTCGAATCCTTTCCGGGAGCTTGACCGTGTTGAACAGAGAAATCAAATGAAGTTGACACCAGAAGCGGACAAAAGAGACAAAAAACGTGAATTTTACCAATGCTGACAGTCCAATCCACGGTTTTGGCCGAAACCGAGCGACTGCTCATAGCGCTGGAGATCAAAAGTTGATCTCCTGCTACAGGTTCAGACTTGCCAGTCCTGCTTTTCAGAAACCAACACCTCTTTGCTATATCTTTGATGATCGCCCGGCTCCGACGACGTTCACACCCCATGCGGGCCTCCACTGGAGTGTAAGACTCCCTTCTGGTGAGAATGTGGGCCACCCCCTTGGCTTCAGCAACTTCTCACCGCCAGAGAGGCGCCAAATTGGAGCTCATGTATGACTTGGTGGGTCGGGCCGCCTGGAGGGTCTTCCTTTTTGGAGATGGATTTTGAGGGAAAAGACCATTTGTCCATATTTGTCCTATATCCTCTATCGGTAGGCTCCTTTGGTCTTCTATTGGCTCTACGGCTCAGAGCGTGGTCGCACCTTTTGGTCATCACCTCACTCAGGTGCGCGAACTGCGCACTACAAATCATTGGGGCCCCACAAGCTGTGCAGCCCCAAGTGACCGCGCATGGATATCCTTCGCCATCCCTTAATAGCCCGGGGTAAAACACAAGCCGAGGGCCTAGTGAAAATAAGCATGCAAAAATGAATCGTGATGCAACATCTCGAATGTTTGGGCGTACACGATGATGGTCCTGGAGGAAGACATCTTCCGGGATGGAACTTAGCGCGGAGGGGTCAGCACTGGTAAAAATTCAGAACTACATGGAATTGCCTACCCCCTTGCAGACTAATTCACCTGGACCCTGAAAAAATGCACCGTGGAAGACGATTTTGTTTGCAATCTAGTGGTTTTGAGGGTCTGCAGGAGCGTAATGACCAGCACCAGCTTTGCAGGTAATTGAAAGTTGTGGGACCCTTTTTGTAAGAGCGTCTAAATTGGCTGCCCTGATCTCCTTAGATCATGGGAGAACTTTTTCACAAAGGCCCTTATTTCTGTATATATATATATATATACTCTATAGCTGTATATGCCTTCAGCCTCCGTGTTTAAGGGAAAGACAATTGTTTGGCTCTAGAACTGGGGTCACTCAGGTTCTAGGTGTACACCAGGAGTCACAAAGGGGTGCCTATTGGAGGATAGGGGTGCCCATTATCCACTCACCCAGGGTTCAAAAAGCACTGGCGTGTATATATATATATATGTATATATATATACTTATATATATATGTATATTATATATATACTTATATATACAAAATCGCGCAAGAGTAAGTGCAAGTCATCGAAGATGCACCGAGTGCCTTTGTGTCCTGACTTTTTGAGGCTTGAGGTTGGCAGCCTTGGGTGGAACTCAGATTGCTTGGCACGATGGCGTCGCAGGGGATCAAGAGGCCGAGTGGTGGCATGGGCAGCTCTGGCTCTGAGTGTTTTTGATCAGAAAATGGGCTAGACACAGCAGATGCAATATTCATGGAGGTTGAACACCACCAGTCTGTAGTGGAAAATGGTCATCTATGGGTTCCAGTGTCCCACTTCAATGAGTATTTCAGGTGCAGATGTTCAATAACTATTACGATCCGCTTTGCGCTCGCTGCCGCTTGCCAGGCTGGAAAGCCTGAGCAGATGCAGCCATGGCAGGTGTGGTGGCTTCACGGATACTTTTTCAATAGGAAAGATGAGGCCACAATGCGAATAACATATTGAAGAAGTTGCTTTCATGGCTAGTCACCTTTGGCCCTTCGCTCATGATCTTACATGACCTTACATGCTGTAATAAGGTGTATCTCAGGCTGCCTGGGACCAGTCCTTGGTGGTGTGAATTCCAGGTCTACGCCAACTTGCTGCCCACCTCTCTCCATGACCTGACGGTCTTGGCCGCTTGTGGCTCCGAGTGGCGGTGGCTCAGCGGAGTCCCAGCCGCGGAGCGGAACCACGGGAGAGATCTGTGGGCTCCAGTCGTACCTGCTCAGGTTCGGTATGACTGGACCCTCCTGGCACCCACCCCAGTCCCACCTTCTTAGAAGGTACTTGGAGCATTAGGGATTATGTTTTTTAAATATATAGCGATATATATATATATAGAGCATGCTATTATACAGAATTCTTGGGGGAATTATCTTTGTATATGATCACTCGCCAGCTGGAAGGAGATGTTATTTGCACATCATAGTAATCATATGCAGGTGTTTTGGTGTTCCTTGCTTCTCTCACTACTCGCAATAAACTGACGAACCCATGGATTTTTCCACCAAACGTGTATAAAAACTGACGAGCCTGGGACCATATATAGGGGATCACACTCAGATGGCATTCGCAGTTATTTGATCCCAGGCCATGTACAAATGGCCCAGTATCCCATCTATACAAACCTGCTCAGTACGTCGAATGCCTGCGCTGATCGCCTGCCCCGACGTTCGGCTGACGGTGTGCCGTGACGCTGACGGACGCTTCGTCGTGGCTCAGGTTCAAGCCCCAAGCCACCGACCTCACGGTCTCCCGAACCGAACGCTTCAAGTACGACCGGGACAAGGCGCGCCAAACGGCTACGGCGTGTGGGTAGACCGCACTGGTACCAGGGTCAAGCGGGTTCGAAATGCTTGGAGTCGTGATCCGGTGAAGCCATGATGACATGATGTATTTCTATAGATATTGCCTGCCATCCGAGTGCAATGCATCAGGAAGTTTGTTTGGATTAAGCTGGTGGGGCCGATGCCAGATGCAGGTGTATGCCGCATGCCCTTGGTGCATCTTCAGTTTGCGTTTGCTTTATTTTTTTAGCTATTTTGTCATGTCGTTAGGCGGGTTGAACCAAGGACTCACTCAATACACTTGGCTAATCGTGTCCTTAGCTTCTTCCAGTATTCTCTCCATCCAAGCCCAACAGCCCACCCCACTCAAAGGGTTGAACATTTTAGAGGGAGCCAGTGCCAAGGCAACAACGTGAAACAAAAGAACTCATGTGATACAGCATCCCGAGAACTTGAAGCGCTGTTTGTGACTGTTTTGCCAACTCCCCTCTGAAGAAGGAGTTTCCTTTGCTGTTTTTTGACAGATCCCAGGCCACGAGTTTCCTCTACGAGCAGTTCTTTGTGCACCTTACCTCTACCTGGAAACTGGGCTGAGAAGCTGCTGAGTCCGTGAGTCCTTCTGAACTGCAAGACACACTCAACAATTTTTTGGACATGCATTTGCTAAGCGAGAAGCTCCCCCCCAGGCTGGAACACTCTTGACCTGTTTGGACAGCCGTTTGTTATGCTTGGGTAGTGAGGTCTCTCGAGAATTGCAACCCATACATTTGGCTTAGCAGAGCAAGCGGGTGTTGCTGGACAGTTGGGAATTCGTGAGACGCCCTGATGAGGGTGCGCATGAATTTATAGCATAGAAGATTTCTCCAATTAAACACCTAATTAGAAGTGCTTGCATGTTTTTGTTGAGCATGGAAGTTGTTCTAGTTCGGTGTCGGGGCACGGAGCTTGGCTCTTCCTTCGGTTGCATCAGGCCAAGAATCAAGAGTACTGTACTGTTCGGGAAGATGTTGGAAGGATCCTCAACCGTCCAGTTTCAACAAAAAGAAGTTCATTATACTTATACTTAGCTGACCTGTTTCCTCAACTGACCTGTTTTCATGATACTTATAATTGCATGATTGTTGATGGTCTTTTGCAACCTGCTGCTTGATGGTCTGGCCACTCATGTGTCAACTACACGGTTGCAACGTAGACAGTCCCAGGAAGCGCTCGCAATGGATCGAATCACGTTGCGCCGCTTGGCACGGGCTGTAGGCGGCGAAAGCTTAAGGATTGGACATCAAGGATTGGCAAGAGGCAGATGAACCATCCGTGACTAGGTGACTATAGGCTAGGTGACTAGGTGACTAATCAAATCCCTTTTCAGCAAGGAGACTGTAAGACTAGGTGACTATAGGCCAATCAAATTCCCCTTTCAGAAAGGGGATTGTGAGAAGGACATTCAAATCAAATACCATATAGACTTTCCTTTTCGGAGATTCTCTCCGGCCAAGAGCCATGTGTAACGTTTGTTCTCCGCGTTCCCCGCAGCAACAGGTCTTCCACCTCCAAGAACGTTTGGACTGGAACTTCTTAGACCACGTCCTGGCAGGAGGGGCTTTGCTCAAGGTGGGTTTTTGTTGGGTGCTCGAAAGAGCCGGAAGAGCGGTGTGTCTTGGTTCGATCCAGGAGAATGTCTTTGGGGTACTGCCACATGGCTGGAGATCATGAAGCATATGAAGCATCGTGAAGATATCAGCATGCGCTAGTCGTGACGGCAAGTCCTGAACTCTGGGGTTGCAAGGCATTGGTTACCGAAATTCGGCAACTCTTGAGGAGTTGGAGCGTGGTGCGTCTAGTACCCATGTTGAAGCGTGTCAGCTCACCATTGCACAAAGTAGCCACAAAGAGCAGCAGACCCTTAGCAGCAAGCTTTTTGGCACTACAGGTCCTTTCAATTCTCCTGCCATCAACTGAACTTATCACCGCACCCACCACATGTTTTCCTACTCACTGTTTTGGGGCCATGCCGCCAATGCCAATATAGAACCAACATATTCTAAAAGCTTGGAACTTAGAACATCTTATAACACTTAAACACCATTGCTTGCGCAAACAGGTTGGCATAACAATAAATCATTATGGCAGCTTCCTCCCGCCGTCGCGCCAAACTCCCTTGGCTCCCGCTGGCGCTTCTCGCCACGCTGCAGCCGCTCCACCCGGCCGTGGTGCAGCGGCCGCCGCTGAGCGCGGTGGAGGTGCGGCAGACGCACCGCGCGGTGCGGGCAAAGGCATGGGAGGCGCTGGCAGTGGGAGATCTGCCGCCCGGGAAGGAGCTAGTGCTTTGGATGCCTTAGTAGATGTTTGGGGAGTTTGGCACGGTAGCGGGGTAGGATTGTTGGGATCCTACAGGCTTTGGCTCCTTTGGTAGTAAAGCTGCTGCTATTCTCCATGACCTCATGTATTTGACTCCCGCTCAAACTACGATTGTCCTCGGATCAATGAGCTCAAAACATATCATTGGCTGTGACTAATTATGCAAACATGTCCAAACATGTAGCATCATGTAGCTGATTATATATATTATAGAAAGCCTGCACGACCTCCCGGAATCGCATGTTTAAGTAGCTGATTAAGCTGATTATATAAATCAGAAAGCCGGCACGATCTCCCGCATTCATATGAACAGGATAGTGTTTTTGATCCAAGGAGCTGATTTCTGCCTTGGATTTGGGCACGGTGCCCTGGAGCCATGTGCCACAGCGACTCAAGGAGAGCCACGTGCCACCGCGTCAACATGGGCAGAATGGGTAAGTCAGTCGCTGGTATGGCCAGGGTGTATGGCAATAATGAAAGACCTTTCAAGAACAAGTGTCAAGCCATTGTAGGTTTGCAATGGTTTCTTTCTTATTGTTTCTTCTTAAGTATGCGAAGATTCACTGTTGCGATGGGCATTTGGGGGGGAGACGTGATTTGGGGTATTTGGGGCTAGCGTCCTCACAGTGCATGCCCAACAGATTGAAGAGCTGGAAAAGAAGTCCTAGAGGGTCCAAGTCGACGCACACGGGCGGTGGACGTTGTGTGAAGTATGATCTAGAGTTGTTCAGGGTGGCCTTTAAATCCAAGGATCACTGTGGAGAAGGCTTTGTGTTTTGCATTTCCGCATGCACCAGATGGAAACTCTTGGAAATCAAATTCCCACGTTCCATCGGACATGATGCAGCTCAAGGAATTCTCCAATGGGAAGTTAGATGACATCAGAGTAGAGGTAGAGAGGGGCCGAGCGGGCTTGATAGCTCCAAATACATCAACTAATCCATCAAGAAACACACATATAAATCACTCAGCTATGGCCTGACCAAGTGGGTTTCATAATTCAACTACATGAACCAAGCCAATAGAACTCAGCTATGGGGCTATTCGGGGCTATGGCCAATAAAGAAACCCCACACACACACACAGAGATATGATATAACTTATTAAAACAATTAAAAACACACCCAGCTATGCCTATTTTGTTGATTCCAACCATCCTGTGGATCTTCAATCCTCGAATCCCTCCAGGAGCACTTGGCCTTGCCCTTGGAGGACCGCGGCATCGACTCCTTGGCCTTGAACCTCACCGTGGCGGTGCAAGCCAAGGACTACACCAATGGCCTGGTGCCTTTGAATCGGCTACTGGGTATGGGATCGGTGTGGGGAGATCTGGGAGGTAGCTTGGGAGGAGAGCCACGCATTTGCCACATCACTTGCTTTATTGATTTGCAATATGTACCTGGGGTGGATGATTGTTAGAGTGTTTTCGGCTTGATTCTTTTGCAAAATCGGGTTCCTATATTAGTTGTGCATGCTGCATGGCGCATCATGGCACCACTAGCATCCCGCTGTGCAAGGGGGCAATCCTCCCCACGTTCCCAACCTGCAGTGAAGAAATCATTTGCCATGTGGTGCCATCTCACTGAGGCTCACAAACTTCTACTACATGGCGAAGGACAGGTATATATATATATATCATATCACCACAAACTCCGGATGTTGCAATCATATGGCAGCGGGTCCAGAACAGTTCCAAATTACTTCAGGTGTCGTGAATCCGAGTTATGTTTCGATGTTGGGCATGCTTCTCCCCTACTCACATGCTAAAGGATTTGCACCGCAGATGTAGATAGGAAATTAGACACCATAATAGACTATATAATAATATGTTTAGATACTTGATCCACCCCCACCCAGTGAAGACTGTTGTTCTCGCTCCAGTGGGCCTTTGCCATCCACTTAAGCATCCAACATGGCTCTGGGCCAACACCTGGAGCCCGTTTCGCCCTGACAATCGGATCTCGCTGGTATCGTCCATTCGATTCATGTTCGGTCCAAACAAATCCCAGGGCGTCCCGGTCGTGACCCACGGACCCACAGCGGGTGTACTGCGTACGGACCCACCACCCGTTCGTCTACCCTGGAGGCGGAGAACTCGCCTCTGAAGCCCTTCGTCCAACGACTCATCGTCGCCACCAGTGGCACGGCCCGACTGCCACGGCAGTGGCAATGGAGCGGTGCGGAGCAGCGGAAATATGGAGAGCAAGAGGTGGAAGAGTGGAGAAGAAGAGCACAGCAGCTTGGAGTTCTAATGAGTAGCAATTAGTCGTGTTGCTTTGTTTAAACATTGTAGTGCCCACTTCACACCCTGAGAAACAGTTTTTCTTTTAAGGCTTTATATAGGGAGGAGGCCCGCTGGCAACCGTGCTTCATTTCATTTGCTTTTCCGACCTCGCTCCAGCCAAGGGAGCACAGGCCTCCTCGGAGAGTGTTGCGACGATCAAAGAAACTGTGGCCACACCAAGTTGAGACCTGGCGGGTAGTGGTTGATCTGTGGTCCCCAAATAGGTGGTGCACGGTTTCCAATACATTATTAGTGGAGATCTATATACTTTTCTGATCTTTTCTGTCTATTTGTGCGATTTGTGTGCATGTGTATATGCTGTGACCATGTTTCTTCAGAACGGACGATATTTAAAGCGGAGAGAGAGAGAGATCCAATTTGGCGAGCAAGATTTCCTTCCTGCTACTGCTGAACATATATAGGGTAGTCTCTAGAAATTTCTCGGGTTCGCAAACTGACAGTGGACCTGACACAGTGTTTTTTCGTAGCAGGGTGATCACACTGTTGCACAGCACAAGTGTTTCGCAAAAGGAATGCTTGGAGCAGTGCCGGAGCTTCCTTGAGAACACGTCCCAGCGCGACTTCTTTGTGCAGATGGCCACAGGCACCGGAAAGAGTTTGGTTATGGCAAACCTCCTAGCAGACTTGGCTCATGGAAAACAAGCATGCATCATCGTACCAAAGCTGGACTTGATGGAACAGATGGCAACGTTGCTGGAAACGATGCTTCCTAAGAGCGTTTCACGCGTGGGCACTGGCTGGCCGGCAGATTTGGCTGCAGACATTTTCGTATGTGTCCGGAACTCTGCATGGCAACTGGAAAACCTGTCACTTGATGTGTTGTTGCTGGATGAGGCTCACCACTATGAGCCATGTCAACACACCGATCAACCCATGGAAGATGGCTCCAGCGGCGACTTCATGCTCGGCGCGTTTTGTCGCTTCACGCCGCCAAGCGGATTTTCTTCAGCGCCACGCTGCGGACTGCGCCAGACTTCGACTTCGGCCTGCGGCCGGCGATCCGAGCGAAGGTGATCAAGGACTACACGGTGATGGTGCCGGTGCTGACGGAGGGGGATCCGCGGCCGGGCTTGGTGGAGCTTATTCAGAACACGTCACTTGGGCAGAGGAGTTGGTTGCAATACATTGTTTGTTGTTCCCTGCAAGTGTGGGGTGTCAGTGTCGAGTGGTATTGCGTCTTGCTCATTTGGACAGTGTGGTGTGGTGGATGTCAATTTCTCATCATTGCATACGTTGCGTATGTGTATGTATGTGTGGTTTCTTTTTGGCAAGCTGAGGCCTTTGGCTCGGAAGATCCTTGCTTTCTGCAACACTGTTCACGAGGCCAAGAACTTTACCCACATGCTATCCAAAGCCGGCATAGCTGCTAGCCACTACAATGCTCATACGGGAGCATCACAACGGCAGGGCATACTGGAAAGCTTCGAACGGAGTGAAGCTCACGGTGGAATACGTGTGTTGGTGACCGTTGACGTCCTCAGTGAAGGGGTGGACTTGCCGGCGGCCGACACGTGTATGTTCGTGGCGCCGAGGAGCGGGATTAGACTGCAGCAGTGTGTGGGAAGGGTGCTTCGCAACCATCCCGACAAGGTGGACGTACCTTGACCCAGTGTGACTATTGGAATTGGTGTGCAGAATTGAAGGTCCGGTCTTGAACTACAACGTATCATAGGCGCAAATAAGAAGTGACTGAGTCCAGTAGTTACGTACCTTCAAATGACCTTCTGTTGGTTTCTTCCATGGTCCCATGAATCTCAGTCGACGAGCTCGGATTCATTGCCTTTTTGCGGTTTTACGCTGCCTTGTTCGAGCTGAGGCCCTGGTGATAGCCCCACCCATCGTGCAGTGCGCCAACAGCACCTTGGTAGAAGATGCCGAACTGAGCCGGTTGCTCGGCGACCTTGCAGCGGTGGATCCTGTGTTTGAGGAGTCCCTTCGAAGGAACGGGAGAACAGCAGATGGCCGTGTCGGGATTTCGGCGCAAGCCTTGCAGTCTGCACAGGTGCAGGGTGTGGTGGAGGCAGCAGCAGAGATGTTGCGAGTCCATGTATTTCGCAAAGTGTTGGGAGGAGATGAGTGGGAGAGGGGGTTTCAAGAGCTTGTTGCCTTCAGAGATTCATTTGGCGACCTCTTGGTGAAAACACGGTACAAAACCGCATCGGGCTACCCTCTTGGAAAATGGGTGTGCAAACAGCGTCAAGCCATGGCAAAGGGCAAGTTGGATGAGAAGAAAGTTAAGCATCTTGAAGGGCTGGGCTTTATTTGGAAGGTGCGTGACGATCAGTGGGAGTCAGCATTCCAAAGGCTAGTTGTTTACAAAT